TGGGGGGAGAGGGTAGTAGTTGATAAAAAAAAATTGTTTTTCATTTCATAAAGCATGTGCATAATTGTTGTTACTAGGAGGGCAGAGTAAACGAGTTCTTTTGTTAAAGTGCCTCTTGAGACGCATCTTAGTAACCATTCTTAACAAGGTCTATTATAATACTTCCTGAAATATTCAGGTTTACAAACTCTCGTATTGTTATCGCTTAATTCTGCTCATATACTTATTTAACATGTATTCTTAAACCTTAATTTACACACACACTTTAACATATGATTGTGGGTTGCATATTGGATTATTACCTTATTTATGTTCTTTTGTTAAAGGTAACAACTAAGGGAAAGGGATTGTATATAATTAAAAAAAAATGATGATAATAAAAATGTAGATAAGTTTGGTTTTGTAGCCTCCCTAACCTAAGCAATTAAGCCCGAATGGGTGTTTTAACACCTAATACCCTAAAGTCAACTGACTTGGGAGCTATTGGCCCAACGCTTGTTACATGGGGTGAGGAGAAAAGCTTAAGGGAATCAAACATTGCACTATCTACATATCAGTATCGGCGACCCGAGTTACTAAGCTCGTAGGGGTGTCTTAACACCTAATGCCCTAAGACCAACTGGTCTGGGAGTCATTAGCTGAAAGCTCGTTACATGAGTTAAAGATGCATGATGTTTTTAAATTATATGTATATAGATTTAAAAGAAAAAAAAGAAAAAAAAAAGAAAAATAATAATCCCAACCCAAGGAAGTTAACCTTAAACATTAGAACAAAAATTTTGTTTTCTTTCAAGAAAAGCCCCATAATTATGTGTTGATACATTGAGCACAAAAGAAAGGTTTATTAATATCTTGTTAAGAGGCATTGAGCAGATATATAAATTTAATGAGAGTTTGTTTATCTGGATAGATTAATGGAAGTTAAATGATGAATACCTTGCTTTGTGAAATTTGCAAATTGTTTTAACGCTTTCATTACTAGGGACTAGTAATAAGCTGGTTGAGAGGTGTGATTAGTACTTAAAAGTGCATTTTTATCATGGTTTTATATCATCATTTTGCACTTGAAGTATCAATAACTCCTTAACTAAAGCATGTTTTATAATAATATATCTAATAATATAAGATACCTTTAATTTATGGTAAATGTTCATTTTAAATGCAGACCTATCACATAAATGAAAATATTGATTGATGACTTTAATAACTTAAATTGCAAAGGCAAAGAGATGGTCGAACTTAGAAAAGAGATGTCGGTGCAATCCAAACCAGAACACTGTTCGGTAATTGGGTCATATCTGGAGTTACAGATCTCAGATTTAGGTCCAATTTATATGGATGGAAAGGTAAGACATAGGCCTAAAACTTTCATATGGAGCCCAAGATCTAAAAAGGCCATTTGCAAGTCCAAATTGTAGCAACAACAAAGAAGCCCGAATCTGTCTTCCAGCCCGAGCACTGTTCGGTATTTTGGCCATATCTGGAGTTCTAGAAGTCCAAATGAGCTGAATGTTTTACACAAGAAAGCTGAGACAATTGCCTACAACTTTTATGTTTTCACCTGACTCCAGTTTTGACGTTATCAATGACGTTTTGGACAGACAAGAGAAGATAAGGATTGTCACCAGTTTTTGTCTGGTATATTTTGTAATATTCAAGATCGGGATCAACCACAGGAATTTCAATTCTAGACCACAAAAAAGCTTGGCATGCTATATTCAGGTCAAGCATCTTCAAGGCTAAATTGTTAACAGCTTGCTAGCCTTTTCAGCGATATATATATATAGAAATAGCTTTTACGGGAGAGGAGGTATTTTGGCTATCCTTTTACCTCCTGAGTTGGAGATGTCCTAACATATCAGTCACGAGATCAAAAGATAACATCTTATCGTCAAACATTTATGATAACTGTCTCAAATTTTGATTAGAAAACATTGGCAAAAACAAATGTCAAACAAGTGCCAGCACCAACAAAGGGATTGCTGCCTTACATCTCAATATGGAACAGTCTTGCCTTCTTAAGAAACTCTACCATACCTGCAACTGAACCAATTCCAGAAACGAGAGTTACAATCAAGCACACGAACCCTAAGGCTTGGAGACCAAACCAGTGGCAGCTTCCTCTCTTGATCTTGGCCTGCACTATGTACATGCTTATTGGAAAGTAGACTGTTAATGGCCAGAAGGAAACTGAGCCGAGAAGACCAAGAATCGCATTGAAAAATGGAAACATCATTGCAACTGCAGTTGTGATAACAACGAAGATTGTGCGTAGAAACAACCTGTTTATAGTCAAGTGAAGGGAACCTTTTCTCGAGCATGGGAATCTGATGGTGTAGATTTTGTTGAACGATGATGTTGGCCATCTTGACCCAATCCATTTTTCATTGATAGCAAAAATTGGTTGAGCATACACCTGAGAAGAGCAATGACAACAAAATTTGGACTGAAATCAAACATCATGCGAGGTGGTAAGTTTAATAAGCCATTCAAAGAAATGAAAGAAACCGAAGTACTTGAATATTCAGGATGACTGGCGTACATAAATTTCTCAATCATTTTCATGAAAATGGATCTTTCTACAATTGTCAGAATGGACAGAGAGCATGTACCGAATATCCAAATATAAAAACCTTATGGTGTCATTTCATGAAATTATTGATTTCAAGTAAATCCCTGTTAAATAAGTTTTCAAGAATCTGTTCAGAAATGATTAACTGCGATCAAAATTTACCAACTTTAAGGTTTCAGCTGATATTGAAAACACATGCACCCAGAAAGGAAATTTTCAATCCATTATCAAGAAGATACAAAGTATAGTCAAGTATCCTTCATACCATGTATATAAAAGTGCTACTTTCAGGACAGAACGGATCCAGTTCAGACATGAAATTCAGCTAAGAGAAGAAATATGTAGCCAATAATTAGATGGTGGAAATCCAGTGACTTTAAGCAATTTGCTTCCTTGTAATTTTCAAAAAAATCTCAAAGTTGTTCACTATACCCACAAGTGCATTGGACAAAAACTAATATTAAGAAAGGCCAGCACAGACTTTAACAGGCTTAAGGCTTAAGGCTTAAGGCTACCTTAGTTAGCTGCAAAGCTTCAAATCAATAACAGAGATAAATTTGTTGCATCAAGCATGGGATATTTTGTGCATTACAACATAATATTAGCCACTTGGATCCTACAAATTATAGCAGGATAATTGTAAAGAAAATAGTCTGCCTCTATATACAAAAAATAGATCATTGATGCAAGAAAATAACTAAAATCCTAATTTTTATTTATAAATAATTCTGTTGGGTGCATTAGTTGAACTTAAAATCAATAACCAAATTATGTAACTACATGTCACTGCATAGAATGTGATAGCATCAGCTTTACATTCAATCAACCTAGATGCAAATGAAGTCCTGACACTTGAATGGGAATAGCCTCCACCAGTAACTTGCATAATAATGAGGGAAAGAACTATTGAATTTCAATGAAATGAGACATCATAACTGCAAAGGCCAATTTGTGTTGTTTTGCAAACAAGTGTGAGCATTTATACATGACAAGGAGGGATTGAGCACGGATATACCTGATAGGCCCCAATTAAATGTATAATTACAGCAACGTTGGCCATGTCAACAAGCCAAAATGGTTCATAAAATCTGGAGAGAACATTTCCAGGAACATCATTTCCAAATGCAGCATAACCAATGCATCCCAGAGAAATGTAAAAGAATGCTGTCCCAACAACAACATACAATGATACTCTCTTCATCACTTTATTTTCTGGTGGAACTGACTTCAGGGTATCCTTTAGGAAATGCTTTACATAATCAGGATGGGTAATTGTTGAAAATGACAGTAAGAAATGAAAAACAATTTTAGGTTAAAGTGCAAAACCTGAATTTCTAGGAGTAGCATGCAGTAAGTATAGGCCAAAGCAATGTTTCCAAGAGCTTGAAAAGCTTGCCAAAATCTTTCTGACGTAGCTTCAGTATTTACCACCATCGCTACCATGAGACTTCCTTTAAACTCATGGTTTGAGGACAGTTTAGCAGTAGATAGATATAATGCTATGAGCGCATATGCAAATGATGTCACTGATGCAATTACTGAAAGGATTGCCACTTTTTCCAAGTTTGGGCATTGAGATAAAAATATTTCTATTGCTCCGTATATAAGCATATAGAGATTTCCTGACACTCCACATTTTGCATTATGTCCCTTGTCATGAAAACAGGTTGACCTCTTTACAGACCTATTCAGAAGATGAAACAGAAGCATTAGCTACAACATCTTAAGCACTTGCACACAGTTGAATAAGAAGGAATGTCTTATGCTCAATTCATGGGTATCACATACTCGTGAAACTTTTAAGATTGTGATGTTCAGAAATAAATTGTTTAGGCTTATGCAGCAAAGCTGTAGATGCACTAGAAGAGAGTTAAAGAACTACAATATACCAACACACAATCAAGAATAAATTGCAACAGATCAATGTATTTTATCAAAAAAGATTTTTGAAGCAACTCACGCGATGCTAATGGCAGTTGTAACTGTGTAGCCAATCATTGTTCCCCATAATATTGAATACTGCAATATTCCACAAATAAGTTCACTCTTAGGACCTGCACAAACCAAAAGTAATTACTGTTTGACATATAATACATGATAAGCCATGATTTCAGGTGGAAAGTATAGAACCCTGATATTTTGTGAAACTTTTACTTTGTGCCTTATATTACTGTGGTTATGGTCCACTCAAGTCTTCTACAGGTTATGGACATTAAGAATGGAAATAAACAGTTAATCAAAATGATTTATATTAATTACATTTTATAAAAAGGAATATATGCATATAAAACAATTTATTTTGGTAATCATTATAACAATGCATATTAAAAGGATAGATACACACCTAAAAGTTCTCTCACGGCATGAATGTAGGTATGGTTTCTTTTTCCAGTTACTGGATCTGGTGTTCTATAGCAATCACATAGAAGAGACGCAATATAGTATGTAACAATGGCAAAGAAGACGAGGATGAAGGGGCCAAGGATCCAACCCAATTGAGCAACACTCCAAGGCAATGCTAATATGCCAGCACCAACAACAGCTGTAAAAGCATGGGCTGTAGCAGTCCACAAGGTACCTAAATCACAATGAAAAACAGTAAGTGATTGTCATAACCTGAACATTATACAAGAAATAGAGAATGTGAAAAGGTAAAAGTATATGCAATTTCTTGTTAGCAGCAATGTGATGGTGTGATATAAATGAGCATATTTCTAGATCAGCCCTCATTGAAGTATCATCTCATTTATCTCAAGTGTCTGAAGGTTCTCTTAATTTGGGTCAGCCTATTATTTTGTGAGAATATTCATCAAATGAAGCCACCAGTACGTGCTCTTACTAGTTGCAGGTTAATCCTGATTATACTGTATTCTATGACATGTTACCTGATTACACTAGCCAAAACAAGTGGGCATCATTTGCAGAAATTAACATGTTATTACAGCAGAAGTTGTCATTGATCCCAGATGACGTTTCTAACATGGAACATAAGTAAAATTACAAGATAAATCATGAAGTGGAGATGATGTTCGACTGATACGGGATGCTTATTTTTTATGTTCACATTGATATGATGTTCAATTAATATACGATCCTCAAAATTTGAGAAGCGAATAGGTGGAGCAAATATCAAATTCTCACTCCATATGGACTATATCTTGATCTACCAAGACAAATGGTGCTTGTATCCTGTAGTTGGATCAACAAAATCCATTGCTGTGGACCAAATTCCCATAGTTTCTCAAGTGACCATTCATTGCTTCCAGCAACTTGTATAGCTCTTTAACTTTTGGATGTGCTTTTTCACCCTTGCGGAATTCATGAACCAGACCATCAACTTCAATTGAACTACACCCTGGAGTCTTTTTTATGTTTCTTTCTTTCATGGCCTTTCTCCATTTCAAAGCATCTCTCCATCTATTTGCAGAGGAATACATGTTCGACATGAGTGTATATGCACCATCTTTCCGGGGCTCCACCTCTAGGAGTTTTTCCATTACACTTTCCCCAAGCTCAACCTTCGCATGCATCTTGCAAGCTCCTAGTAGTGCCCCCCAAACAAAAGCATCAGGAGCAATTGGCATATTCTGTATGAACTCTTGTGCCTCACTTATTAGCCCAGCACGACCCAAAAGGTCAACCATACAACCATAGTGCTCTGCTTGAGGTTCTAGGTTGTAGACCTTGGACATGTCCTCAAAATATCTCCGTCCTTCTTTCACCAATCCTGCATGACTACAAGCGGAAAGAACACCCACGAATGTTACTTCATCAGGCTTGATGCCTGTTCTGGGCATTTCAGAGAAGATAGATAGCGCACTCTCTACTTCCCCGTGCATTGCCAAGCCTACAATCATTGCAGTATACGAATAAACATCTCTTAATTTCATGGCTTGGAACACTCGGAAGGCTTGATCGATGCTTCCACTCTTTGCATACATATCCACAAGAGCATTCCCAATAAACCCATCTGCCCTTAGGTGACTTTTATCTATATAAGCATGAACCCACTTTCCAAGTTCAAGCATTCCAAGATTTGCACAAGAATTCAACACAGCAACCAAAGTGACATCATCTGGTTTCAATCTCACCTTTTGCATCCGCCTAAATACATCCAATGCCTCTTTAAATTGTCCTTGCTGAGCTAGACCAGATATCATTGAATTCCAAGAAACTACATTTTTAACAGGCATCTTATCAAACATGTGCCTAGCAAAACCAGCTTCCCCACATTTTAAGTACATGTCCACCAATGCATTACCAAGGAAAACATCCGAATCAACATTCACCTTAAGGTGAACCATATATTCATGGATTTTCCTACCCAAACTCAAGTCTCCCAGCTTGGAGCACGCGGAAAGCACAACAACTAAAATCATATTGTCCGGTCTTAAATTTGCTTGGCACATCCGAAAGAAAGCCGAAACGGCATCTATTGGAAATCCCATCTTGAGATATGCTTGAATGAGCGTGGTCCACGAGACTAGGTCCCTAACAGGACCTTGCTCAAACAGCTTCTCGACAACGTCGAGCATTCCGCAGACAGCATAAAGCCTCATAAGAGTGTTATTAACATACACATTTTCCATGAAAAACATTTTAATACAATGAGCATGAATCTGCTGACCTTCCCAAAGAGCCAAAGAATGGGAGCATGCCTTAAGAACAAAGGGGATAGTGTACGTATCAGGAATAATGCCCTTTATCAGCATTTCCTGATACAAGTGAAAAGATTGCATAGAAGTTGATGACATGCGTTGGATTAAGGCATTGTAAGCATAGACATCAGGTTTATCCCATTGCTTAACAAGAGAGTGAGCATAGTTAAGGTCTTTGTCATTTGGGGGGCTAAAGAAATGGTTTAGTTGTAAGAGGGAGTAGATGAGTTTTTTAGCATAAACGTGGTGAGTTTGAGACCTTGGTGTTTTGATGATGAAGGCATGGATTTGTTTGAGCTGTGATACAGATTTACAATAATGGAGTTTAGAAAGAAGAGATAATTCTTGTTGGGAAGAAATAGAATTAGGGTTGTTCTGGGGTTGTGGCGTTTTCGAAGCTGAGTAAATAGTGGTGGTGGTGGGGGGTTGTGACAGTGTCGTTGCCATTCTCATTTTTCACGGAGCAATCAAGGAGGCTGTGGCTGCACTTCTCCTTGATAAGATGATATAATGCGATTGCGACCAAGTTTTAATTTTTTTATTTATTTTTTAAATTTTAAATTAATTTTATTTTAAATTAATTTTTTTAATAATTTTATATTATTATATATTAAAAATTAAATTAAAAAAATATATTTTTAATACTTTTTTAAATAAAAAGATCTTAAAAAACAATTCCTAAATTTTAAACTTGGCCTCGGATTCGGGGTTGTGACCGGTCACCGGTGAAACACTATTTAAAGTCAACTAATTTAGCTGCGGGCCACAAGGCCTGTACTCACTCGGTCCAGGCCTATATCTTGTAAGGGGCCTTAAGCTCAGTATGGTGGACTAGTTGAGCCTCGCCTAAGGAATTAGATCTGAAATCAAAATATACACCAGCCCAATAAGGCAATGATAAATTCATGAGTTAGCACCCGCTCTGAATTTTGTTTATGAAAAAGGAATGATAAAAAAAAAATCCAATTTTAAATTTTCGAGTGAGAAAAGCGTAACAACTCTGTAACAGAAATAAAAAGGCAGGGCGAAAAGGGGGAAACAGAGAATCTTCCGCTAGGGTTTGTGATGCTATTTTTCAGAAAGGGAAAACAGTCGGTCACCAATTTGTCGACATGAAACTGATCTCCTCGGAAAGAAGAGAAGAAAAAGGCAAGCACACATGGAAATATCAACCTCTATCCATGCAAATGACTGAAAAGAAAAACCACAGGGACATGCAGAGACTACTTGATGAAAATGGTGATGAAGATGGTGCATGGTACCTGTTCTAACGCGCCCATCATCCCCTGCATCCATCGTCATTTCCATTGAACCAATCCAGCCACGAACAAGCGAAAGACGAACTGAAAGAAGGAAGTGAGAGAGATGGGCAGAGTAGAGTGCGTGCAGAAGGGTGCAGGCTTGTTGATGAAATGGCACAGGGAGGAAGAGACTGCGCTGTGGCCTGTGCCTCGTGGCTTGTGGAGGAGGTATTTTAGAAGTGAATATTATTTATACATGGAGCCCACGGAAAGAGAGTCACCCATTTGTAACTGTTATTTTTCTTTTTTAGAAATATATAAAAATAATTTTTTATTTTTAAAAAATAATTTTTGATATTAATATATTAAAATAATGAAAAAATCAAGAAAGATATTAATTTAAAATAAATAAAAAACAAAAATAGTTGCGCTTAATTAGTAAGATACTGTATTTGGTATCTCTCCAATTTATTACACTTTGCATAGAAACAACATGCATGCATGGTGATGCCAGGTGGTCGCTGCTGGTTCTTTTTTCACTTAGTTTATATGTATTTATGTATTTTAAAAGTATTTTTAAAAAAAATTAAAACTTTTTTATTTTTTTATTAATATTAAATTAATATGTTTTTAGTATTTTTAAATTATTTTGATATTTTAATATTAAAAATAATTTTTAAAAAATAAAAAATATTATTAACATAATATATTTTAAAACAAAAAATTAAAAACAATTACAATTACACTTCCAAACAAACCATTAATTATAATAGCACAGAATTCGAGAGTGTGTTTTAGTCAGCCGGTGTCACTGTAGCCCCAGCCAAACAAGACTATCAGGGACATTTGATATTGAGTTATAAACTAAAAATTTGAGTTTTGTTTTGTTTTTTTTATTAATTTTTTTATCCAGTGATATTAATAATAAATTTTAAAAAAATAAAATAAATATTATTTTAATATTTTTTAAAATAAAATATAAGCAAATAGACAAGTAAGAAAATGACCATGTTCAATGAACCTAAATTGCTCTGCTCTCTCCCTCTTTTGCTTCCCAATAAAATGCGGTCTCTTTTTCCCATTATCTCCATGCATACGTTACACACATCTCGAGTGCCATTTCTCCTTTTGGAGGTAAGTTTTTCGTGCCAGGTTTTTCCCATTAATCCGTTCGGCTCTGTGCTAGATGTGCCTCATTCTCAAAATAAATAAATAAATAAATAAATAGTAATAATAGTAATACTTTTGAAATTTCCTGATAGAGTTTTATTTTTAAGAATTCCTTGCAGATCCAATGTACTTCAAAATATATCTTGAGTGGATGGGTCTTACTCAATTATCATTTCTTCTTAATTAATGCTTGTAAATTTTGAATTCAAAAAATGAGGAAATCTTTTTTATAGCTAACTCTATCTCTATCTATTAGGGATAAAGAGAAAATGATAATTTCTTTCCTGGGATTCTAGAGTAGCGATTGCAACAGCTTTTATGTTTAATGATAGTGTTACGCGGTGTTATGTAATTAAATTATATATTAAAATTTTATTTAATAATTTAAATTTTTTTATTGATAAGTTTTTTTAATATGATATAAGTAAATAAGCAATCATGAATTTAAATTTTATCATTTTTATTTTATTTAATAAAAAAATAAGTATAATATAATACGTGTTTGTCCAAGTTTCAGGTTTAAAGAACTTTTTTCTTGAAAAAGTGTTGAAGAATTATATAAATCATATCTTGAAACTTTGTATAACAGCTTAAGTTATTATGTTAAATTAGTTTTTTGACATGATATTAAAGGATTGTTGAAATTTCAAACCTAAAAAATTTTCATTTCAAGTGGTGTGTTAAAAAATTAAATCATATTTAAGGTATCATTTAACAACTTAAATTTTTAGGTTGAAATGATTCTTTAATAATATAAAAAACATCTTGTGTGGGTGTTTATTTTGAATTATTATGCTTCTTGAAAAAAAGACACATAATATTTTAAATTATTATGTTAAATTAATTTTTTAACATGGTATTAAAGCATTATTGAAGTTTCAAATTCAAAAAACTTTCATTTCAAGTGATGTATTAAAAAATTAAATAATATATTAAGATGTCGCCTAACAGCTTAAAATTTTAGATTAAAATGATTCTTATATAACATAAAAGATATCTTATGTGAGTGTTTATTTTGAATTATCATGTTTCTTGAAAAAAAAGTTTCTTTGTTTTATATTAATAATGTTGTTTTACAAAATTTAAAATTATGTTTAATTAAAATATTATCAAATTATTTTTATAGTTTATTTAGTAGTTATGAATGATTATGCTTCCAAAAAATTATTATTTTATTTTAATCAATGTATTATTTAACACAGTAATCAATTAAACATGATTGTGAAAGAAAAAAAATCATTGTGTTTCATTTATTGGTCCCGTGTAATATCCAAGGAGTGAAATAAAATCCATCACAAAATCAAATCATCTGTTGAAGAAATATTATCATTAGAAAACAAATTATTAAATAATTAGTTAGTGTTGAAATCTCCAAACTAAATACCCAAGAAACAGTTATTTTAATAATTAAAATAATTGAATATTCAAAGTTCAAAGAGGGGTTATTTCGTTCCTTTTGTTACCAATTGTAAAGCTACAGGTAGATATAAAAAAGAAATGTACCATTATAATTATATTATTATAATGAAATAAAATACTAAATGCATGGGTTTTTTTATTGTATCACGTCCACACTGAAATGTTTATATATCTATAGTGAAATTATTCTTTTACACTTTATTTTTTAATTTTTAAAATTTTACTTGAAAGGTAAGATGATCTTTATAAATGATTAATTTGTCACTATCTTTTTATTTTATTTAATAATAATAAAATTATCATATTGCTCTTAGAAAATAAACAATTCGAAGATTTGATTCAGAAGCCATATGGTAATTTCAATTTTGTTACGAGGAGCATTGAATTGCACAGATATCTTTACTATGCAAATTTATTGGCTTTGATTTTAAGGGCTTGATTGTTATTTCATAATGGCTTTTGTTGTTATTATTTTTTAGTCCTAAGAGTATTTATGTTTTTTTATTATTATTTTATGAATAATTAAATTACTTCATTACCCTTACCATTTAATTTTTTTTATCTTGACTTTAAGGGTTTGGTTGTAATTTCATAAGGGTTTTTTTTTTTATTATTTAGTCATAAGAGCATTTTTGATATTGTGCACATAAAAAGGGTTGTTGATACATGTCTAGCATGTGTCCGCAACTCCGCCACCTTCAAGCAGTCTATGCTATTGACTATAATAGTTGAAATTAAGCTTTTATCATTTTATTTGATGCATATCAATATCCTTTTTCTCTCTTTGTGGTGTATATATAGCAGTGAAGTCTGGTTTGGGTTCGATTGGCTTTTCTTTCTTTTTTTTCCTTTTCTTTTCCTTTTCTTTCTTCCTTCAATTACATGTTGGCCATGCAAAAAATTATATCAACCCTCAATTTATTTTTTTCTTTTGATTTAGTCATTTTTCTTCTAATTGCAATTGTTTTATTTACATTGATTGTTTCTAATTGGATTTTATTTCGGTCTTGTCCTTAACTGTTTGATCTTTTTAGATTTTTTTTATCAAATTTAATTTTTATTTTTTAATTATTCTTTTTTTGTTTTCAATCATTATCTTGATTTATTTGTTTTTCTTCAATTCCATCCTTAGCATTTCTTTTCATTGAATCTTTATGTCAAGTTTGGTTTCAATTCTTTTAAATGTTATTTTTTAATCATTTTCTTAATTGATTTGTGTTTTTTAATTCCTACCCTAAACATTTAATTTTATTTAATCTTATCCTTAACATTTAATTTTAGTTGATCTTTTAATTACTATTTGTTTTGTAATCCTTAACATTTAATTTTAGTTGATCTTTTAATTACTATTTGTTTTGTTATGCATTTTTTTATTGATTTTTTTTTCTCAATTTCATTTATTAATATGTTTTGGGTTAAGAATTTTATTTTTTCATGTTTGTCTTTAATAGAGTCACTGTAATCTCTTAACTCGAGTCATAAATCTGAAAGATTAGCCTAAGTTAACTTTGATCTTCTTTTTTTAAGAATTTTCTTCAAAAATATATTTCAATATTTTTTTCACTTTGCTATTTATAGGGTCATTATAATTTCATGTCCTAAGTCACGTGTTTGGTTTTTTTTCACCTGGGTTGACTATTAGGTTCACTTGAGGCTTTTGTTTTATTTTTTTATATGTT